GGTCGACTTGAGCGAGGTGGCGTTCGGCGGCAAATAGATGTTTCGAACGGTATATTATATGTTCGGTGTAAAATGCAGCCCGAGCCGGTAGACGCTCGCAAAGTGCCGCGACGTGCGCGCAAGTGCAAAACAAGGGCTGCATACATGACACATTGTGCAAATGGCACATTTTGAGATCGGATACAGGACGCGTTTGTAGATGTCCGACGTTGTTTCCATAGTGAGCTAAGTTAACAATATATCATCATACATAAACATTTTCCGGGAGTAAATACTTGACTTATTGAATAAAGTTTGCTATATTCACTAACTAGTTTGGCAATATTATTCCGTGCATGTGTTAAAAACCTTATTTCCATTTGATTCATTGGATTACTCGCGTGAATGTTTAGCACGTAAATGCTTTCGTTTTTAAAACCGTCCGACCTCGACTACAAAACCATCAACCAGTTGCATAGGATTAAAACATTTCAACACTCACTCACCCCGTCTTAAACATTCCCAAAGAAGTGCCTCTGTCTCTCGTTGTGCTGGATGAAGTCACTGGCGACGAGTAAACCCAAAATAGTCCCAAACAGGCGCAGAGGCATTTTTCTTTTTTACTAGTTGTCCGAGTTCGGGGCCGTCAAATGCTGTATTGAAAATCATACCGACGGTATTTCGAAATACCCTGGTATACCGTAATACCGTCATACCGCCCAAGCCTAGTCTGCAGCACATAGGAGCTGCCGGATGCTAACCTGCACATGCTGGGAGGTTTGCACAATCAGCATAGGTTGTGTTAATTAGCATTCCAGTAACAATAGTTAAGAAATGGCTGATTTGGACATTTTTGTTGTGTTTTTGGAGGTTATTGACGAGGCTGAATCCATTTCTGACATTTTCAGGATCAAAAAAGGCAGGGTTCGTACGGGTGCTGGAAATCCTTAAAAATGCTTGACGTTTTATGTAAGGTTTGGAAAGTGCTTACATTTTGGGAATGGTGCTTGAATTTGGGATAAAGTGCAGGTGTTGGTTCTGCCGGATTTGGACCCCCCCCTATATCTTTGTCCAGGATCAGTGTGTGTGTAGAAATATGTAATTTACAACGGCTGTAAGATGCTTGAAAAGTGCTTGAATTGTACTTTGGAAAAGGTGTAAGAACCCTGAGTTACGAGTTCACTAAAACTTTCAAATCAACCAGAGATGTATCAAACCAAGATGTATCAAACCAAGATGTATCAAACCCAGATGTATCAAACCCAGATGTATCAAACCCAGATGTATCAAACCCAGCCCATCTGGAGGAGAAATATGGTCACTTTCTGGTTAAAACTGCAATTTTTGATCTGGAAAATGTCAGAAATGGACTCAGCATCCTCAATAACCTCCAAACCACTCCAAAATTGTCCAAACCTAATTAGCCATTTTATAACTAGTGTCTGCATTATTGCTAATCAACCCAACTTATGCTAATTGTGCAAATGTCCCAGCATGTGCAGGGTAGCATCCGGCAGTTTCTATGTGCTGGAGACCCTACTCCACATTTCTATCAGAACACTTTGGGGTACTCAACATGTCCACGTTCACAACATGGCTCTATGAGCTGCTGACTAGAGTATACCTGAGACCCAGACTCATTGAAACAGCCTCTTGTCTTTTCTCCCCTCTTTGAACCCTCAGATTGTGGAGGGACGTGACTCTGAACCTGAAGCTGAAGGACATCGACTCGGCGACAGAAGCCAAACACAGTCTGGAGGAGAAACAGAGAGGAGAGGCTCGAGAGAGGAAGGAGAACGAGCAGCAGTGGGAGACCCGGGTGAATATTAGATTATTATGGACTACACGTTAACATGCGTCTAGAAACCGGGTTCCTGCAGAGCCCTTAAAGCCGTTCAATTCAATCATCTGAAATAAATAAAGCCTTAAATGGTTAATAATATTAACATTGCATTCGAAAGTCACAAAATGCTAAGTTGGATTTTATTTTATTCGTTTTTTGCTGTAAAATCTCTAAAAAATATGTATTCTTGAAAGGCAATAAATTCAGTTAAAGGTTAAAAGGTTTAACAGTGTCGATATTTCACCTTAAAAAAATCATTAAATGTTATTAAAATGACTTAAAACAGTCGTTCAAGAGTCCAAAAAATGCAAACATGTGGGAGTTGTAGTTTTTAGGGTACCAGTTCTTTGTAAACTCTCTTTAAAAAAAGTCTTGAAAAGCAATAAATTCCTTAAAATCAGGGTCTATTTTGATATTGAATTGTCTTTAATCAATAATGTCTCCAAAGGTATTAAATTAATAAGTTAAATAAATGCGTTAAATGTTATTAAAATGTCTTAAAGACAAGTCTGACTCAATCATTGTTTCTTTTTCATTCAAAAAATAACACGTTATTAGAAACATCAACTTTTTTTGTTTAATCTGCCAGAAATCCTGTGATTATTGAGTACCGTAATTTTCGGACTATAAGCCGCGCCTTTTTCCCTATTTTTCGACGCTGCGGTTTATATAACGGAGCGGCTAATCTATGGATTTTTACAGCTAACGGCCAACACCTTTAACTCTATGGGCTCTATGGCCGGTCCGCGGACCCCCACCTTTAAGAGGCGGGTTCCAGCAGGAAAAGCTGGAGGCCGGAAAAGAGTGAGACAGGTAGCGCGCAAAAGTAAAAGTGGAACCGAGAGTGGTATGTCGCTGCTGCGGCTTATATTCAGGTGCGCCTTATAGTCCGAAAATTACGGTACTCATAATATCCCAAAACAAACAGTAAGTTGAAGAGTATCAAATACAAAAAGAATATTTTGTTGTTTTTAATGTAAAGTGACAGAATCTGAACGGATGAACGAGCACTTTTCGGGTCACTCATTCTACATAGTGCTCGTTACTGTTGTCAAATAAAAGGACATGTAATGCAAACTCATCAAACGTCTCCATTTCACTCGTACACACAGACGTGTATCAGATAGCTAGACCCTCCAGAAGAACGCGGGCTAAAATCATTGATTATGCGATTTAAACATGCGGGTTTTATGTGATTTTATGAGGTGAAATTGCAAAATATGCGGAAAGTTGGGAAAAAGAATTTTAAAAAATTTAATATTGGGCTGTCTTATTTATTCTCTCTCACACACAACCTGCCACTAACGTTAAACCCCTTTACTATTCAATTAAACACATTCAATGTTTATTTATTGTAAAAGCAATTGGGCTATTTTAATCACTCTCTCACACACACACACACACACACACACACACACACACACACACACACACACACACCACACACCACCCACACACACACACACACACACACACACACACACACACACACACACACACACACACCACACTCACACAC